GGCACCCTACTCATTTTTTGGTTTCACCTATAACCACTATGTTTGTTTTTTGGGAGGGGAAAGGAGGGAGAAAAACTATCTGTTCTCCTCCTAGGTTGCATTGACGATCAACTGGTTGTTCAGTACAGCAGGAAAGGGAAAAGGTGATATACTTCTTCTGTTCTATCCAGTGTTGGACAAATTTAAAAAGTTCATGTGTAAGGAGACCCAGACCTTCCGCTTCTTTTTTACCACCTCAACCAAACATTTCTCAAGTGTGGATAAAGAACTGCAGATTGCTTTCACCTTAAACTCTGTTTCTGTAAATGAGTTTGACTTAGTTACTGGGATCAGTAAAAGTTATTTTTTATCTCGTATGTGCTATGGAAGGTTTCCTTTAAAAATCAAAACCATTGTGGAAAAAGATGAAATAAATTATGAATAATAGAATCATTGATGGTTTCGATGCAAATTTCACATTCTAGAGTGTGACACGTCATATGAGTGGTGAAACTAAAAAATTATGAATAGTGTTTTTACCTGTCAAGACTACAGCTAATTCTGGTTAATGTATGTTCTTTATTGTCACTACCATGCCGAAGTTGTACTTACGATGAGATAAGTAATCATGAATCTGTGCCATTTGTTGTGCTCAGAAACAATTACAAACTGAGAGTGGACTGAAAGGTTGTTAACAGGGATCTCTTACCATCACGTAGGTTCTACTCAAGATGCTTCCTGATTACTATAGACATGTAAAGGAACATGACAACACACTCATAACAAAAGTATTTGGGCTGCACAGGATATCACTGAAACGTGGAAAAAAGGTTAGTGATCAGGCATAAGTCCTTCTGTACTTTGCTGCTATGAGTTTTTCTCATTATTCAGGTCGAGTATTCACTTATTTCATTCTCAGGTACGCTTTGTAGTCATGGGGAATATGTTTTGTACGGAATTAAGAATACATCGCCGTTATGATTTGAAAGGTTCTTCTCATGGGAGATTTACAAAGAAAGATCGTATTGATGAGACGACGACATTAAAAGACCTCGATTTGAAATATGAGTTTCATATGGACAAGTTATTACGTGAGGCACTTTTCAAGTAAGTCTTTGTTTGGTTTTCCCCTTCAGTTTTGAGTTTAAAATTCTGGTTCATTGTAGTCTCTTCTCTTTAATGCTTGACTACTGAAGTTTTTGAAGATGGAGCAAGTAATTTTACTGTAAACCAAAACTAATCTGCTGAGGATGATGGATTTTTATTTTTTTCTCGCAAGTTGGATATCTGAAGTTAAACTCCAGTTAGTTCGCAACCCATAGGCTAGGTTAAGAAGGAGGATTGCAGTAGGTTCATAGTCACTGTAATCTTCTTATAGTCGTAATAACAATAATTCGATCCAAACAGATCCGAGTGGTTACATAGGATTCTTATAGCTAACTCTAGCTTTATTTGGGATTGAGCAGTGGCAGAGCTACAGTGGCGTAAGGGTGGTCGCTTGAGCACCCTTCGCCGGATAATTATACAGTGTATAAACATCAAATATTTTGTTGGAATATGTAATAAAGCTTGTACACCCTTAAAACAACTGATATAGATGGTCCAGCGGTGAAGGATGTGCAAAGCGACCAGGTTGTTTGGAGTTCGATCCTCAGCTGCTACATTTATTTAAAAATGGAAGCCGGTGCACGGAGACAAAATTTACCGTTGCTTCAAGGCTCCCCTTCAACTGCTATATTTATTTACTCCTTTTTAGAAATCTCTTTTTAAGGAACAAGCAAATGGGAATTTTCTCTCCTCTTCGAAAATAGACTAAAAAACATTTGACCCAGAAATGTTTGAGTTCAACAGACCCAAAAACACTTGAACCCAACTATCTCTCTCCTCTTCAAAGTGAGCTACAACTTTAATTTTCTTTTCAGTAAAAAATCAAAGGGAAGTACTGACCAAAATGTTTGAATTTTGATCCCACCCCCTCGTTGACAATTTTCTGAGCGTCTCTCTCCCTTTTTCTTTCTCTCTCTTCGCTCTCTACCAGTGTTATAAATAGCGCTCGCCTCAGCGCTAATAGCGTGAGGCGAGGTGAGGCAGTATCGCTGCAGAGCAACTGTTGCGTTGCGTTTCAAAATAGCGGTCGCTTCAGGGTGTGTTGCGTGAGGCGACACTGTAGCGAGTAGCAACTGTAGCGTCGCTATTTTTTTTTAAAAAAGGGGCAAAACTTAAAATAACAGGTCGCGATTAGGGCTTGAGTTTAGAGCTTCTTCAACTTCGAACAAAAAACAACAAGAAAAGGTCGGAACTGCGATTAGGGCTCGAACAAAACAACTTCTTCAACTTCTTCATCTCAAAGCTTGAGGTTTCTTCCAAGTGTCATCTTCTTCTTCATCAAGCTTCTGCCATTGAAAGCCCAGGTATGAGCTCTGAGTTTCCTTACTTTCTTCTTCTTTCTTCTTTCTTCTTTCTCCTTCTTCTTCTCTTCTTCTTCCTTTTTCTTTTTTCCTCAGTTTTTTGACGAAAAGAGCAGAGACAGAGGTCTGTTTTTGTGCTCTAATTTTCGAGCAAAATACAGAGGTTCTTCACTTCCTCTTTTTTCTTCTCTTAATTTTTTTTTGGCTCTGTTTTGGCAAAATATAAAGGCTGCTTTGAGGCCCTTTTTTCCAGAAACAGAGGCTGCTTTGACGCCCTTTTTTCCAGAAATAGAGACTGTTTTGAGGCCCTTTTTTTGGCTTTGTTTGCCTTTGTTTCAATTATTAACTTAGTCTTACATAGTAGAATCATAGTCTTATATATGTATATAATATTTTGTGTTTTTGTATAAATTGTCGCTTCACATCAAAAAGGCGAGCGCTTCGCTGCACGCCTCTCGCCTCAGTGAAGCGGGCCCTCGTCGCTATTTGTCGCCACACGCTATCCAAAACACTGCTCTCTACCCTTCCTCTATTCTTGCTTTCTTTTACAGTAAAAATAAAAAAGGAAAATTTCAGGAGTTATAACATAATTTTAGGCTGCAAATTTAATTTTCATGGTAGTAAGTAAAAAAGTGATTTCCGTAATATATAATGTGAAAAAAACTATACCACTAATAATGACTTTCTTTTTTCTCCTAGTACTAGTAACGCACAGTCCGAAACTCGATAAATAGTGACTTGCTTGTTTAAGCTTAACTTCTTGGTTTGGTACCTTCCCTTTTTTTTTTCACAAGACACGTTAGTTTTACCGTACAAATGACTGACTACTTGTAAATGAATCTTGATTTAAAAAAATAAAATATTGTTCCGTGTACTCACTCATTGAAAAAAAAATGTCGGTGCACTCACTCGTAGGAATTTTTATTTTTATTTATTCAAAGTTTGAACGTCCTTAACGAAACTGGGATTGAGGCAGTAGTTGATTGATTGAATATCTACAGGTAACCAAATATGTTGTTGCCTTGAGTATGTTTAAAACTTAATTACAAAGGTCAGAAATTATGCAACATGCCTTATATATATATATATATTTATGTTGTGTGGGTGTGGGTGTGGAGAGAGAGATTGTGGTTGGGGAGGGGGGGGGGGGGGGGGGGGAGGAGAGACCTATCTGTTGTAAATCTTGTTGCTTGTAGCTTCAGAAATTATCATTGGCTGTGTGCATAAGATGGATCTCATATTTACCAATTTGATTACTTTAATGCCAAAAGTGGAGAACTTTGCCGTAATAGTATATGGTGTCATGATAAACTTCATGGTTACGCAATTCTCGAATGACCAGTTACGAATTTCCGGCTCCTAGCAAGTGTCTTATACATGTCCTAATTTATCTTATCTTTTTTCTTTTTCTTTCTTCCTTTTATGGTTATAGTGAATGCCGTGGATAATTTTATTTAGGACTGTTCATTTCTTTTCCTGAATTCCTGTTTTGTTGGTTTCAGAAAGTTCAACACTTTCAGGTTGTCCTTTTATTAACTATAATTCTCTCTCTCTCTCTATCTCATTATTATTATTATTATTATTATTATTATTATTATTATTATTATTATTATTATTATTGTTATTATAACTATATTTTGGGTTTAGTAAAGCGCTCTCGTTTGCTTTTTGCAGACAATTATCTTTGGACTGCAGATTTTTAGAATCTCAGAACATTATAGACTATAGCCTTCTATTGGGGTTACATTTTAGAGCTCCTGAGAATCTGATATCTCTTTTACAGCCACCTGATTCTCTAGACAATGTAGAAACTAATCCTGAGCATGAAGGTAATATCTTTTCTTCCTAAGCTTATTGTTTGGTTTAATCTTTATTATGGTGTTACCTCAAGCTGAACAGTATCTCTGATTCCAGTGTGTTTTCTTTTCCTTTCTTGATTGTTAATTGCTATAATAAGGGAATAAGGTTAATACGTCTTAAGATTAACACGTCACCATCCTTTTGTGGTCATTAAGTTTGGTTGAACCTCTCTATTTTTTCTAGGCATAATACGTAGTTTACCGAGCGGTGTACCAAATCCGTGTGACCCACCTTTAACCACAAGAATCATTTTACACTCTCAACCTTTTCAAAGTATAGCTAAGACACACTACTTTTGACCAGGTAGATTACACGCTAAAGTAGTGCATGAATAAGTAAAAAACTTGTGTCTGGGGCCTTGTTTAAGTGCCACATGCCCCAAATTTGTCCAAATTTTATTGTCTTTTATTTTAGTTTTAAAAAAATATAATGTCTTCTTCCCCTACCCCAGCGCCCCCCACCATTTTCTTACCCCATCGTCCCCCACCATTCTTCCCTTGAAACCCCCTGTGTCTTCCTCTTCCCTAAGCCCTCTTCTTCACTCTCACAGACCCTCCCCTTTAGTCTTCTTCCCCAAAACCCTCCATCCCCTTTCAAATTGATGCCAAGGACTCATATCTGGAGAAAAAGGTTGGTGTGGCTCAAATTTACAGTGCTTTTTGTGTGGGGAAATTAAGAGTTGAAGAGACGGATTTGTATGTAGATGATCGAAGCAATTATGGTGATGGGTCTTACTGGTGAGTGGAGTTTTCGAAGAGTATATTTGGAGAAGGAAATTGAACTATGGTGATGGGTCTTTCTGTTAGGGTATGAAATAGTAAAAGGAAATCATAGTTTTAAGGTCTTTCTGTTAGGGTATGAAATTGTTAAGAAAAGGAAATCATAGTTTTAAGGTTTTGGGTTACAAAAATTTGGCGGTTTTGAGTGAATATTGAAGGTTCTTTCTTGTGTTTATTTTGTTTTTGTTTTTCGGTGGTTAAAAATAGAGGCACTGCTGGATATTGTAATAAAAGAAATGGTGAGAGGAATTTTCCGGCGACTCACGATTCTCGGTGCCGGTCTTTGTTTGAGAAGATGAAGAAGATAAAGTATCTTTGAAGTGGTTTCTCTTTTAACAAAAAACTCGTGTCACAACATGATTGGTGCGTGAAACACACTTGTTGGGAGAATGTGGTCAAACACCGAAGAGGTGTGTCTTAGCGACAATTTGGAAAGGTTGAGTGTGTAAAATGATTCCCGTGGTCAAAAAGGAAAGGTTGTTTTTGTCCTTGGCTGGGTTCAAATTTGTAATGCCTAGAGATACAAAGGATCTGTTGGGAGCTGGAATGCAGCAGGTAATATCAGACCGAAGAAATGGTGGAATATGGTTCCTCCATGCATTTGGTGGACTGTATGGCAAGAACAGAACGTTAGGTGTTTTCAAGACAATTCTTGCTCTATGCAGAAAATCAAGACGAAATGCTTTTTTGTCCTTTCTCTTCTGGTGTAAAGAGAATTATGTAGAGGATGTAGAGACTTTTTTTGAATTTTTGAAGCCTTGTAAGATGAAAAAGGCCTTTTTGTATTTGTAAATATGAGGGATTTGGTCCATAGTTCTGGGGGTAAATTATGTATTCTGCCTTTTTTCTATCACCCATATCCTTTCTTATGGAGGGGGCTCCATTCAACTCGACGAGCATGCCCCCAGGGCTCCTGCAAATAGACTTCTGTTATCTTGTAAATGGCCAGTTCACTTAAAATAGTCGTACTTCTGGCGTTACTTAGGATGCTTCAGTTCTTGCGTTCTAAAACTTCTGTAACAGTGCATTAGGAAGCTACTCTATTCTCTGGGTCAGTTCCTATTTTCCCTCTTTTCACGCATGTCGTTTCTCATTTATTTGTTTAATATTTATCTTGAGAGGCTGGGCATCAGCGACGGTGGTTATTAGCTTCGTTCTGAAATCTTCCCTTTTTATGCTTGATAACATCTATTTCTTTTCTCTACTTACACCAATGCTCATTGTCTTCTTATTTCACTCAATATTTGTCCTCTTTTCATGCATGTTGTTTCTTATTTGTTTATCTATTTATCTTGAGAGGTCGGGCATCAGCGACAAAGATGATTAGCTTTTCTTTTGAAATCTTCCTTCTTTATGCTTTATGACATCTAATTCTTTTCTCGTTACCCTAATGCTCCTTGATTTATTGTTTCACTCAATTAAGGTGGGATATCTCAGGGGGAGCTCTCAATTCCACCAAGGGGTTTGATTTTGGTAACTCATGAACCCAGTTCTGTCAGCACTACGCCAGGTCCTCATATAAGAGGAAGTACTCTAAGAGCCATGTCCGTTGGTGACAAGGAGGTTGATCTTCTTGTCCCGGGTACTGGAAGGTAACCTGATCTGCTTCTTATTCTCTGTTTAGAGCTGACACAAATGCTTTTCCATCATCAGAAGTACGCTCACAACAGTTTTTTCAATAAGCATGCATTTACTTCAGCCTTCTCAAAATTAGTGGACTGTCATCTAACTAAAGCACAATTTACAAGCAGTAGGGTTTTCTGAGAGAAGTTGGAACAGATAAAAGAATGAGAGAAACCCAAACAGATTTCTTAGGAAGAAGATAGAGATAAGCCAGAGAAATTCTTGAGAATTTTTATGTTACTTGTCTAGAAATGGAAAAGGTCAGTAATACGAGATAGGGAAAAAATCCACCACGTAAGTTTTAAGTTGCAGTTGAATGTTAGAAACAAGAAGACAGGGAAATGTACAGAGAGAAAGGTGGACAAATGATTGGAAAAAATACAGGATAATAGCAGGAAGTCAGGAACACAGGGTAGGTTAAGATAAAAAATACGAAGAGCAAGAGGGATGATGGCAAAATGGGGAAAGAAGAGAGAAAACCATATTATAATCTCTTGGAGAGTCGATAAAATAAAAAACCATGCAACAAGAAATTATAGAGGAAGGAGTCGGACCTCAAAACCTTTCTTTGAATTTTCAGTCATTCTATTTATTCAGGGTAAGTGATGGAGAATAGAAAGAAGAGAAGCAGATGGGCTATGTGACTCAGTCTTGCTGGCTAGCTTGTACTGCATAGCGGAATTCTGACTTCAAGGAAACCACCATATTGGTTTCGCACCATCTGCATTATGATGTTAGGATTTATCCTATTGATATGATTGATAAAGGGATTACCGTGTGCTTAAAGAAATGTTGCAAGACACCTCAAATTAAATGTAGAAAAAAACGGTTCTATCAAAAAAAGTGTAGAAAGGAATGAAAGACGGGCAGGGATGACCAGCTTTTTCCAAGCATGTCATGTTTGGTGTGATCGAGTGAAAAATGCTCAAAAAATGTTCTACTCTTTGTTTACTTTGATCATTGAATCCCGAGTGTCCTAGCAAAAAGGCACTACATTTTGGTGTGATCGAGTGAAATTTTTTTTACCAAGCATGCCATGTTTTCTCATGGACCTTCATCAGTTTCATTCAGGAAAAAGTAGAACAGCCATTGTCATGTTATTTGCTGTCAAGCTGAATTCACTTTATGTCTAACAGCTTTCAGTTTTTTCAGGTTAAGGGTACAATTAGGTGTAAACATGCCAGCCCAAGCAAACCAAAAACTCATGCAGGATGAGACAGCTTCAGTACAAGTTGAACTTTTTGAGGTATATGATGTTGTTCTATATCTGGGAATAATTGATATACTGCAGGAATACAACATGAAAAAGAAATTGGAGCATACCTACAAATCATTGCAATTTGATCCCATGTCGGTCTCTGTAATTGAACCCAAGCTTTACTCGAAACGTTTCATCAATTTCTTGGAGAAAGTGTTCCCTGTTGAGCCATGAAAGCTCTTTTAACTTGCAAATATTTCTTCTCTCTCCTGCTGAGGCCCTCTGGTTTCTTGGTTAGAGCTAGATGGAAAACAAGCTTTTCATGATTCATTGAAGAGCAATTTTATCACCACTCAAAGTGTTTTATTCCATTCCACTTAATGTACTACATAGTTTTTCTGTACAGTGGCACCTAACAGTTTTGTAGCTAAAGAAGTCTTTTCTGTTTTAATTTTTCTTAAAGATTTGAGCTTTGAGCTTTGAGCTTCAAATCTTCCAGTTTCATTATGGATGATAGATTCTAATTTACTCTATTTCAAAAGAAGAGCGTTTCCTTGATTTTATCAAGTGAAGAGATGATTGGGGTTCTAACGGTAACATTTATTAACTTGGCCCCTGTCGAAAATTATCTGTTTTGATAGGATAGTGATAATATTGTATGGGCTAAAAAATGTCTTTGATATGGGCCAGCTGCATCAGTACAGAAATTCAAAAATAGCTAGATTTATAAGTGGTCATTCAAAAATAGCCACAATTTCAAAAGTAATCGAAATTTAGCTACTTTTTATATAAAGATAAATCTGAATGAAAACACTGTTCAAAATTCGGAAAAATACTCCAGCATAATATACTGGAGTTCCAGTATAATATATCGGGTCCAGCATAATATACGGGAGTTTGGAGCACCGGTGCTCCAGTCTCCAGTATATTTTACTGGAGCCAGCAAAGTATACCGGTCCAGCATAATACGCTGGAAGTTCATACATAGGTGCACCGAACTCCAGTATATTATGCTGTACCGGTCTTTGTTGCAGCAAAATAGTGGCTATTTTTCAATGACGGCAAACACTGACTATTTTTGAATGATCAGTCCGAAAACTGGCTAGATCGTGCTATTTTAACCTGTTATAGCCTTCATCGACCGCCACGTGCTATCAGTGAGGTTCCCACAAAGATCGACCTCAGGGCTAAGTAGCCTCAAAGTAAGGAAAAATGTGGTCGAAGAGTCACCATAGTTCAAGGTCGAGGTGGACCATCTTAGATAGAATTAGAACGGCTAGTTCTAAGATGAGATATTCATTTGTAAAAAGACATTTTGACTTTATAGAGAGAATTTGGTCATATTGCAAGCATACAAAAACAACTTTTTTACTAAGATTCTTGTCCAACATTTTCATCGGATCCTAGAACAACCTAAATGTTCAATGTTTATCAATCAATCATCATTGTCAAAAAGAATATCCATCGATCTCACCTTTTTTGGGTGATTTACACATTTTATTTACTTATGCCATTTATTGTTATTTATTTAATACCATATTCCATCTTTTTGGATCATTGAATGTTGTTATCATTACTTGTATTCATTGCCATATAGACAAAATATACTAGTTATTTTGTTTTGATACCGGTAGCGTCACGTCCTTGCCTAATGTCTCACAACTCTCATTGATTGCGTTCATGAGGTTACTAGGGAAGTCACCTGTTACTTTAGCGCTCCCTCCTTGGTTACCTGCCATATTAATTTTTTTACGTGCAAAGAAAGAGAGAGCTTTGGATTTGTGATGTTAGTGACTCACGTTAGCTGTAGATCTAAAAGAAACTAAAAAATTAACTAAGAATCTCCCCACAAATGGCGCCAAACTGTTTGGCCAAAAATGTAGATTTTGGTTCAACCAAATAAATTTATATGAAGAAAGAGTTAATCTTAGTTAAAAATAATATCCGAAAGATAAAGCTACCGGTGTCCAGACAAAACAACTAATATATTTTGTCTAGATGGCAATGAATACAAGTAATGAAAACAACATTCAATGATCCAAAAAGACGAATATGACATTAAATAGCAATAAATGACATTTAAGTAAATAAAATATTTGAATCATCCAAAAAAGGTGAGATCAATGGATATTCTTTCTGGCAGTGATGAATAATTGATAAGCCTTTGAACACTTAGGTTGTTCTTGGATCCCGGAAAAATAATAGACAAGAATCTTAGTAAAAAGATTTTTGTACGTTTGCAATAGGGCCAGATTCAATCTATAAAGTCAAAATGTCTTTTTTTCAAATAAAATCTCATCTTAGAACTAGTCGTTATAATTCTATTTAAGATGCTCGACCTCGACCTTGAACTATGGTGACTCTTCGACCGCATCTTTCCTTGCTTTGAGACTACTTCGCCCCAAGGTTGATCTTTGAGGGAACGTCACTTATAGCATGTGGAGGTCGATGAAGGCTATAACAGTACTGACGTAGCTTGCCCATATCAAAGACAATTTTTAGCCAACCAACAGTAAGGAAAATATTAGAAGAGAAAAGGTATGCAAACTGATACGAACACTTACGAGAAGGGTTCCAAGCCTCAGGGAAGGCTGCGACAGCGGACACTACGTCTTCGGTCCTAACAAAGAAATAGTCAAGCTAGAAATGCTAATTATCCTTATCATCCATTCTCACCACCAAACATTTTCCCCCACAGTGGCAAAGATTCAGTAAAGTCCCTTGATAGAATTGAGGGGTGAAGAGATGGATAAGGTGGGTACTGTTAAATCAACATTGGCCAATCGGCAAACTTCGTCAACATCATGACCACCTTAAAGATACAAGGGGCAAGCTACGCCGGGCATTCATTGTAGTAGCGGCATAACTCTTCTATCAATAGTGGCAAAGGGAACGAATATCCAATTAAGAACGAATATGCGCAAAGGGAACAGAAGGCAGGACGGTGAACCCAGAGCTCGTCGTCGCCCACAGGGATCAAGTCCACTTGACCAGGTAGGCTGAGTCTAGCCTTGAGTTCGGTTAATCGCCCAACCGTCATCTTGGATTTAAACCTCTCCGTCACCACTTCTGGCTCCTTTTGGAAGTCGGGTTTAGCACCGGACATCGAGGTACGATTTCCTCTAGAGTAGGTAGGTTTTCCTCCTCAGTAGCAGTTCCGCCATCTTCCCCCTAGTCGGGAAAACGACGTCTAGAGGACTAAAATGGTTTTCGATATGGATATCTGATGATAAGTCGGACATTATTGTGAAAAAGGATAGGGAAGCAAAGAAAACAACAGAGAAGTCCAAGGATTTTGTGAAGAAGAAGCTCTGCTTATGAAGTAGAAGGAGTTTGGAAAAGTTTCAAAATCAACAAACCACCCCCAATTTATAAGACCTGGGAGCACCAGAATCGAAACAGAAAGCCATGATTAGCACGAAGATCGAAACGACAGAATCAATCAAGGGTCACACGTGAATCGACGCAATACATTGGGAAACAACGTCATTATGACGGATGACATCATGACGTCATTTTTTCTCTTGGACCATTGGCTCCAACGGGCTTCCAGGGAAAATTCAAAGAATTCGTACTGTGCGGCCCTCAAAAAGCCATGTTGCCATATTGTCACGACCACGACCTGTAAAGCCAACTCGGTAAAGCTCGACCACAAACGACACTGTCCACTCATCAACCTCGCCCGCGAGGAAAACCTCAATGAGCGGAGGCACTAACTGTATGGGATAAAAAATGTCTTTGATATGGGCAAGCCACGTCATTACTGTTATAGCCTTCATCGATCGCCACGTGGTATTAATGAGGTTCCCACAAAGATCGACCTCGGGGCGATGTAGCCTCAAAGCAAGGAAAGACGTGGTCGAAGAGGTCACCATAATTCAAGGTCGAGGTCGAGGTCGAGCATCTTAGATAGAATTATAACAGCTAGTTCTAAGATGAAATATTCATTTGTAAATAAGACATTTTGATTTCATAGAGACAATCTGGTCCTATTGCAAGTAGAACAACCTTTTTACTAAGATTCTTGTCCAGCATTTCTATCGAATCCAATAACAACCTAAGTGTCCAAAGGTTTATAAATTATTCATCACTGTTAGAAAGAATATCCACTGATCTCATCTCTTCTCGGGTGATTCACACATTTTATTTACTTAAATGACATTTATTGCTATTCACTGTCATATTCCATCTTTTTGGATAATTGAATGTTATTATCGTTACTTGTATTCACTGCAATCTAGACAAAATATACTAGATGCTTTGCCTTGACACCGGTAGCGTCACTTTTGGATATTATTTTTAACTAAGATTAATTCTTTCTTCATATAAATCTATTTGGTTGAACCAAGATCTACATTTTTTGTCAAAGAAATATGAATTAAGTTAAACCAAGATTATATGTGCCCTCTCCCTCTTATATCTTCTTGTTAGATTATATGAGTCCACCAAACTATAGAGTACCTGGTCCTCTATGAGATGATGCTTATAATGCAGTAAAGACTGAAAGTAGAGAAGACAAGAGATTTTCTACATGGAAAAATCCCACACAAGGGGATTAAAAAACCACGACCTACTCTTGCAGGCTTTTAACTCTACTAACTTGCAATCTCCCTATTACAAGCCACTTTGCAAAAACCCTATTGCAAAGACTTCAAACTAACTTGTGATGCAACCACCACAAGCCACTCTATAACTATCCTAGTTACAAAGGCTTTAAACTTATGACTATCCCTAGTCACAACATAAACTCAGAAGTTTACGAATTTTGGTTTGTTCCTAAGACAACTTTTCTAAGAAAGCAAACTAGGAATTACAATGACGAACAAATAACAAGATTACAACTCAACTACGGATGTACATAAACTCATTTAGAAACTGATCCTTAGTGGAGTTGTCTTCTTGTTCTTGACACACTAGTGACTTCAATGCCGGATGAATACTTTTTGTTTCTTGAGAGAATATCACTGAATGCACAAGGGATGGTGTGTCTTGCACCAGGTTGTTTTATCACAAAAGGTAACACAACGTATAGTGATGTCAACTCTTGGTGTACGCTTCTTCCCAATGAGAAGTGACTGCTGTACTGTCTACACAACCACTTCTGGGTAGTTGTGTTCCAGCTGGATAGTGGACTCTATACTTCTGTCAGGACATACCAACGGACCAGGTCCTAGTTGTGTTCCTCTTCTGTGACAGTTGCTAGATGATCACTTTCTTCTGCTACGTTCCAGCTGTGTATTTGACTTGTACTTCTATCAGAGAACCCAAAAAGGAGCAGGTCCCTGTTGTGTTTCTCTTTATATTGATTTCGTACAGTCACTGACTTGTGCTTGTGTCGGAGAACCCTAAGGGACCAGGTCACCAGGTCCCTGTTGTGTTCCTCCTTGTGGTCGTTCATCCATTTGCTGATTTTCAGACTTCGACCAGGTCACATGAAATGTATACCCTGTGGGCTAGGTTCTCTATCTGGTTCTTCACGACAA